CACATTGTACCCATATTGAGAATCGAACCCGGATCTTGGCGTGACGAGCGAACGCTTTAACCACTAGGCTACCCCACCGCCCCTCCATGTGGAGGGAGAGCCTGAAGTACTCCAGGGTAATCGTCCTCAAAGCGTTCGTAGCCAACGACATTAGTGAGTCTATGATAAACCATAAAGTTGAGTTACGACAGGTTGGTTGGTTGGTTGGTTGATTGATTAGTCTACAGAACAAATATATGTTAGAACGAAGAACTCCGACAAGTAATTTAGGTTTCCTTGTAGCTACATGTTCTCCCTTGAGGTAAAACGAACAGCCATTTAATCCGTCTAGCAATGCTACATTGCGTACACTTCAAACATTGCAGGTTGAGTGAGCGAGTGAGTTTTGACGCCGCCTTCAGCAATGTTCCAGCTATATTGCGGCGGTCTATAAATAATCGAGTTTGAACAAGGCAATCCAGTGATCAACAGCATGAGTATCGATCAACGCAATTGGGATACGATGACGTGTGTCAAGCGAGTCAGCGAGCCTTGCCACCCGATCCCTCTTACAACAAGCATGGGTTGCTGAAGACCAATTCTAATCCGGGTCCTCACGGGTCTAGTTGCGACAGGTCGTAACATTACGAACGGATTGTGGATCGGGACGCTGGCCTCCATGTCAGACATTTGCCGCTTGGAATTTGGTGAAGCCACATTGATAGGTTTGGTGCTGACACACCCAGCAACATAATCGGATTCGAACACACTAAGGGTTCCTTGTATGCCCAAGGGATGAAACTCTGCAGAGCGAATTGCGAGATCTTGCCAGCTGTGTCCACCGGGAAGCCATCTCTCACTTATGGATCTTTTCCACTAAATTTATGATTCAGGGTGGATTCCGACACTGTGTGGAAATGCTCAAGTTATCGACCAGTGGTTTAATTCTGCTAACACCTGCATACTGATACTTATGGTAGAGCGGTGCTGTTGTAAACTCCGTGAGTGTTTTAGGCTCTTAGCAATATTTCCAGCGATATCACGGCGGGTCCGTGAGTGAGGTTTAGTTTTACGCCGCTCTTAGCAATATTTCCAGCGATATCACGGCGGGGGACAACAAGTGTAAAATCCGATTTGTCCACATTCAAACCTAGTGACTCAAGTGGGGATTCCGGGTTCGATTTGGTCTCTAGCACCCTGTGTGCGTGCGCGCGCGTGCATGTATGTGGAATTATGGAATTATAAGCGTAAAACCGGTTTCCACAATTTGTTGTGTACACTTTGCACATCGGAATTTTAACGTTTCTCCACAAGCGCAAAAACATTGAAGTAAATTCTTCTACTGCTGGAAAATGTCAGTGCGGTGTTAAACAACAACGCAAGCACAAAAAATCGAACTAGTTAAGTAATGTAGTACATAAAAGGTTCATTGAAGCGTGAACACAATGTGTATTGTATAAGCGTGAACATAAACATTTACGTGTTCTTGTTACGGCTTGAAACGAATGACTAACAAAGATACTTTGGAAAAGAACAGCGGAACAGGACATGGTTTGGTAAAGCTGTTTTTAATGTTGATAAATAGAGAACCTTACCCGAATGTCTTTTGATATCAAATATATCATCACGAGTTGATAAAGTTACAAATATCCTAGGCTTGCCGAGAATATTTTTACTTTAATCAACGAGTGTTGATATATTTGTTATCAGAAGACACGAGGGTGAGATTCTATTTATCATCCAAAATCACTCGTGTTTAGTTTTCAATGAAAAATGTACAACTCTGAACACAGTACTGCCATTAGACTTGAGGTGCAGCGATGCAGCATTGTGACGTCATCAAGTTCATGACGTCATAGCATTGTTAGGGCATTGTACAAAATCTACTGTCCTATCCTAGGAGATATCGTTTGATCTCACACAAGCAATATCTCCTGTGGAACACAGTTTTGGGTGATAAAGAACAGTTGGTAACATTTTGGTTTTGGTTTTGAACAGCAAATTGTTTGGTGAAGAACAGCTTATATTTTGATACAGAACTGTAACAGCTGATATACTGATAAAAAACAGCTGGCAGTTTGGTAAAGAACAGCATATATTTTGATAGAGAACAGCTGATATTTTGATAGAGAACAGCTGATACATAGTTTCATAATGAACAGCTTATGGTTTAAAAAAGAAGTGCTGACAATATGGTAAATTGGCAGAAAATCGTATGTATGACAAATCTTTCCTTGATTGATATATCACACAGAACAAACCATAAAACCCTTCGGGATTCTAGCACAGAAGTGTTCGCAACGTCGCATGAAATGAGGCGTAGGAGCGGAGTGAAATGACGTCGAGACTGCCTCGTGCAAAATGTAACTGCCCCTGAAGATCCGGGTTAGAATAAATCTCCAGGAACTCATAATTGTTGGGCGACTAACGGAATCTGGTGGTCAGGCTCGCTGACTTGGTTGACACATGTCCTCCTATCCCAGTTGCGTAGGTCCATGATCATGCTGTTGATCACTGGATTGTCTGGTCCAGACTCGATTATTTACAGACCGCCGCCATATACACATGTAGTTAGAATATTGCTCAGTGAGGCGTAAAACTAAACTCACTCACTCATAGTTGCGTAGATCTATGCTCATGATGTCAGTCACTGATTGCCCGGTTCAGACCGCCGCCATATAGCTGGAATATTGCTGAGTGAGGCGTAAAACCAAACTCACTCACTCATAGTAGCGTAGATCTATGCTCATGATGTCAGTCACTGATTGCCCGGTTCAGACCGCCGCCATATAGCTGGAATATTGCTGAGTGAGGCGTAAAACCAAACTCACTCACTCATAGTAGCGTAGATCTATGCTCATGATGTCAGTCACTGATTGCCCGGTTCAGACCGCCGCCATATAGCTGGAATATTGCTGAGTGAGGCGTAAAACCAAACTCACTCACTCATAGTTGCGTAGATCTATGCTCATGATGTCAGTCACTGGTTGCCCGGTTCCGACAATGTAGCAGTATTGCTGAGTGCAGTGTTACACAATACACATATAAACAAACTCAAGATGTAACCGAGCTGGCTGTGTAATGATTCACCATTGCAGATCGAGTTCGAGATCCATTGCGTCAATGTCACGTCATTGCGGCATATCCATTGACGGGCCGTATCATAAGGGCTAAAGGGATTTACCATTCCTCCCACATAAAGCATGCAAACTGCAGTATCTACGCGTGGTGATATACTACAACTTACTTCTACTTGTGGAACAATAAACAAAGGATTTTACTATATAGATGTTTAACATCAACAGTAAAGGTGTAATGAATCAATATGTATGCTGTCAGACTAAAATTTAGAAATAGGTGACATCAAGATTATACCACATAGCAAACGGAAAACTTGGAAAGTATATTTAAGCGATAAATTGTAAACCTAGTTATGGGCGAAGTCTGTCAATATCATATTTTGACATTTGTCACCACTCGCACCCTTTCTGTAACCTGCAGAAAGGTCGTTATTCGGCTTGTTCCGGAATAAATCGAGTTGGTCATGAATGCTTTTCACTACAAAAATGTCGAGCTATAGATCAGATGGTATTTTCAACCTCATACAGATTATCACATTTCATGATAACGCTAGAGGCTGAAATGTCAGTCCAGATAGCATAAAAAACAACATTAACCGACGTAAAATCTTTTTTTTTATCTTCCCTCCGGCGTCTCATACAAATATGCATATTGTACGACAAAGTATGTATGACCTATCCAGCTATGAATGTTTTAAAGAATTCATAAACCTGTGGGATAGTGTGTTCGTGTTTATACACATTTAAACTTCAGTCTGCCCAAAACATGTTGTGAATAATTACGCACTCCTAATCAGCGTGCGAAATAGCCACTGGGTCGCCTGCCCGTGGCAAGTAAAAATCCAGTCGGGCCAGTAAATCGCCACAGTCACTGGCCCGGCTGGCTAGTGAATTTTCAGGGGGTCATTTTGTAAATATATCACTTTCTTCGACTCGTTAAGTTATGATACACTTTTAAATGATGGTCTGATAAAAGTGTTCATTATATTAGAAGCTTCATGATGACTTATTTGAGCATGAACAAATATTTCAGACATGTGTTTTGTCGTTTGTTTTTGATGGTATTTTCCCTTTTCAGTAATCTTTTGCTTAGTTTCTACAGTCAAATTTCGGGCTAGTAAATTATTTTGTGGGCTAGTACCTTTCAGGTATAACTAGGGCGACTGGCTAGAAAATAATTGGAAACTATTTCGCAGACAGATCCATTACAATTCTCTTTACTGGATCAATATTAAAAAAAATACACAATGTATAACTGTTTTTGGTCGTGTGTTGATATATTTCACATCAAAAGACACGGGGTGGGTGGCATCCATCACCACCCTTCTAATGTGTTCAGTTTAGAAACACCAAGCAATGGCTAGGCATAAAAAGTACTGCTGATCAACTTTCAGGGGCATGGATTAGTGATGTAATTTGATGGTGACGTCATTGTAACCGATGACATCACAGTCACTGTGGTCTGTGAGGTATTTCGATGCCATATCTAATGGATCTAACATAACATCTCCAAGCCACTTTAGGAGTGAGTGACTTTAGTTTTACGCCGCTTTTAGCAATATTCCAGCAATATCACAGCGGGGGACACCAGAAATGGGATTCACACATTGTACCATGTGGGGAATCGAACCCGGGTCTTCGGCGTGACGAGCGAACGCTTTAACCACTAGGCTACCCCACCGCCTCCTACTTTTGGAAGGTCAATAGTCATCACTACCTCCCTCATAACTGGCAACTATTATAGCTTATCCACTAAGACAGATACTCACATATTTGACGAAATTTGTGAGGTCTTAATCGACATGCATTTTAATTATGTTTATGTTTAGAAGTTCGCAGCGAATAGTTGCAAAATTGCTGATGCGGCTTAAAGCAACTTTCACTCACTCCCTCACTCACCCATGTTAATAAGAATGTGTGATTTAATAACAGTGTACTTACTTCCGACCGTGGTCCTCTGGTATCCTTTGCACCTGAACTTGAACTTCAAGAAAATCTGGTCCCGTGGCATCATCGAACCATAGCTGGCAGTATAGGGGGCCACCCCCTCCCCTTGTGGAGAGGCCCAGCAGTCGAACGATGGGGGATGCTTCAACCACATCGTCAAAAAATGCAGAGAAAACATAAAAAGCATCACTGTGGCCAACTTTTTGAAATTGCTGAAGATCGGGCACGGCGATGGGTCTTTTGACGTGTTGACAAGTTTGACTAGATCGGTTTCCAAATTGCAGTGAATCCGAAACGGGTCTAACAGTTGTGGTTGTTGCTGGTTTAACCGTTTCGTCCTTTCGTGTCTTAAAAAGTCCAAGTTGTTCAACTGTGTCTTTCGGCACTGTTGATGCGAGGCCATATAAATAAAACAAAAATACCAACAGGTTCACGACGGAAAGCGTATAGAACGCTCGCCTAATCCTTAACCGCATGTTTAAAACACAAAGCTAGTTCACATCACATCACTTTTAATCTTGAAACTAGAATGTAGGCTCGTCAGTCTATAGGTGGGTATGAAGATTAATAATTCACTGCAGTCGTTGAAATCCGTCGAAGTTTTCCGCATGAAATTACTTCCGTTATCGAGTGACTCTGATATGTTTGACAAGGTGATTTCGTGAATCCTTCTAATCACATCAACACGAAGAAATTCACTAACCCCATGGTAAAGTCAATCGCCATGTGTGTATCTACCGGGTCTGTACGATAAACTCACACCAGCACAATCGATAACCCGCCCCCTATCCGCGTAAGATAAACACTGCGATCCAAAATGAAATGACTAGTACAGCGTGCACGTTCCATTGTCACCGCCGCGACTACGGGTATCCATGGCAACACACAACTGTCAGACGACAGGGAGGTTGTCCCCCAGTCTTTGTGCAGTCTATTGCCATCGTGGAATCATGATGTTACATACAACAGTATTAAGAAACAGCCACGGGAACACTTCCTCTGTCCGATGGGCGCTGCTCGTGTCGCCCATTACTGTGCTCGCAGTCCCGAAACGGGCAAGTCGACAAATGTCGCTTTTGTTGTTTACAACGCGCCGGCTACCATTGTCTGAATGGCAGAGCGCATGTAATAACGGTGTTAACACTTACGCAGTTATTTCCGATACTCGCCGGGGCAGGAATGGTGGTAAGGGTAGAGTAGGGCCTGTGGGTGGACAATGTGGGTTCTTCCTTGGCCCTGTCGCCAGTATTTTGATAGTAGTCCATTTTGAATTATCTCCCTTGAACCAATAATTAACTTGAATAACACTCGTTCCAAGACAACGATGCTGCATTGATCGGTGTAACGAGGGGAGGTAATGAGTGTATTCCAGAAAATGTATCTGCGCAGGCAGGGCTTATATCGGCTTTCAGTGGATTTTCTTCCAGTTAAAAATACTATGTTTAACAGTCCTACCAAATGAGCGACTAGGCATTAACACGTGTATGGTAAGAAATACGTAACGGTTGGCCGTGTATAGAGCAAGAGGAAAAACCGTACATACGTTAATAAGCGCCGCATTTTAGTAAGCGCCGGCTATTAAACAGCGTACAACAGAATAACCGACTGAAATTACCTTCCCTGGATTAATATAAGGATAAGAACGAAAAGTCCCTTTACAACAGATACCATCCTCTGTACCCACTCAGGGCCACATTTAAAAAAATTTCATATTACTATATATGCTCGAGTTCGCTCTCCTGGGCGTGAGTGAGTTTAGTTTTACGCCGCATTTAGCAATATTCCAGCAATATCACCACGGGGAACACCAGATACGGGCTTCACACATTGTACCCATGTGGGAAACCGAACCTGGGTCTTCGGCGTGACGAGCGAACGCTTTAACCACTAGGCTACCCCACCGCCTGCGCTCCTTGAAATAAATTCTGCATCGAGAACAGAAAGTGCTCTTGTATGTGTTCCTATTGGTAATGTTGATTATGCAGAGCAATATTTGAAACAGTGAACGGTTGGGAAGCGTTCCCAAATTATATTACAGGTAATGCGGTAATATACCGTGATAACACTATCGTGATAATTAGTGGGGCTTTTGGAACACAATGACACCATGCAATTAACGTCACCAGCTGACGGCCTTAAACAGCAGCCTGGGGCACGACCCCTGATAACAGTGGGTCACTGGGGGGCAGAGCACTGATAGGCACACATATATAAATACACGATGTAGGATTTTATGGCGACATGTTTGAGCGTATGCTGAATTTTCAACTCCTTTTAAACTTCAAATCAGTTCAATCGATGAACCATATCTAAAATATGTCGTTTTACATTTAAAAGAAGATCATTCATTGTTAAATTTTTAAAATAATTTAGTACAGGCTTATTGCATCAGTATTGTCGTGACTTGTACTCGGAATAGGTGGATATGCTCAGTTTTGAATGGCTTCGACTGGTCTGTGTGGGAAGGTGGTTGGGCGAGTTTTAAATAAATAAATAAATGAATAAATGAATAAATAAATAAATAAATAAATAAATAAATAAATAAATAAATAAATAAATAAATAAATAAATAAATAAATAAATAAATAAATAAATAAATAAATAAATAAATAAATAATACACATACTGACACACAGACACGGACTCACGCACACACTATCACTGACAGACACAATGACACTAACAATAACACAATTGCTCATCTAATATAGCTAGTACCACTATCGATTACTTATTTCCTATCTTACGTACTGATCAATCATGATGTAAGCACAGGTTGCACGAGGAGTATCAGACAGGCAGTTGCCATTGGTCTTGGGTTCGAAGCCAAGATTTTATTTGATGCTGGTTCATGGTCTGCCGGGGGCGGTGGGATAGCCCAGTGGTTAAAGCGCTCGCTCGTCACGCCGAAGGCCCGGGTTGGATTCCCCTCATGGATGCAATGTGTGAAGCCCATTTCTGGTGTTCCCCATACTAGATTGTTTGGTCCAGACTCGATTATTTAAAGACCGCCGTCATATAGCTGGAATATTGCTGAGTGCGCCGTAAATCTAAACTCACTCACTCACGGTGGTGTTCCCAGCCGTGATATTGCTGGGATATTGCTAAAAGCGGAGTAAAACTAAACTCACTCACTCATGGTCTGTTGGCACCATGTCTTTGCCCGTAGAAGAGAGAGAGAGAGGAGTTTCATCTAAGGGAGACATCGACAAAGCAAATATTCCATTCACATGTATTTTCAGTTTATTAATTTATATAAAAAAAGATATTTAAAAACAAACCAAAAACTAATACAGAAAATGTACATGAAAAATACGGTTTAAGATAAAATATTATGATTATTATACTGCACGGCACGAATCATTTCTTATTATCGTCGTCAGTGTTAATAAACTGAGGGGCAAAAGAACCGTCCCCAAAGTAAAATTGTAAAAAAACATTTCTTCTGTTTTCGTTATGACGGAAATTTATTTAGGAACACATCTCCCGAACGCATCCCCACGTCTCACAGAAAGGAAATCCACGTGGGGTTTTTTGTAAGCATGAAAATTGCTTTTATTCACGTTTTTTGCATGCTTCTGTGGAAACATACCCGTATGAAAGTACAGTATAAAAATTATGCTCGACTGTTCGAATTCATCACTTCAATACGTTGGACACAAAGAACATGCCTCGACTCACGGCAGAACAGAGAACGAGCTATTGGGATGTTGCAGCTGGAGTGCTTCTCACAGTCACGTTGCAGAATCATGGAGTTGCAAGCAAAGAAAACCATCACCAGACTGATGACGCTTCAGAACAACAGGTCGGACTGCGTTACAGGCCTGGAGGACAGGAGACCACCCGCAACCACCCCTCAGGAAGACCGCCATTTACGGGTGCTTCACTTGCGCAACAGATTCCTGACTGTGACGTCATCAGCAACAACCAGCCTTACCCATCCAGTCAGTCGAAGGACCATATCCAGACGACTCCGCCGATTCGGTATCAGAGCCTACAGACCATTCCGGGGCGTGACGTTAACGCGTGAACATCGACGTCGTCGATTGGCTTGGGCACGTAGAGTTCGGCAGTGGCAGCCGCGGAACTGGCGCCGGGTACTCTTCAGTGACGAGAGCCGCTTCCAGTTGAACAAAGCTGATGGTCGGGTACGAGTCTACAGACGTCGGAACGAACGCACAGCACGTTGTTGCGTTCAGGAAGTTGAGACGTTTGGCGGCGTTAGTGTGATGGTGTGTGTGTGTGGGGGAAGGAATTTGTGGCGAGAGGAAGACTGACTTGTTGGTGATAGAGGGAAACCTCCAGCAGAATCGAGGCGTGTTGTTTCAGCAGGATAACGCTACTCCCCACACTGCTGTTGTTACCCGGAACTTCCTGAACAACAACAACGTAAACGTCATTCCTTGGCCAGCAAGATCCCCCGATTTATCACCTATTGAGCACCTATGGGATCATCTCGGCCGTCAGGTGAAGCAACGTCAACATCCCCCACAGACAAGAAACGCTTTGGCTCAAGCTCTACAGGAAGAATGGCGTCGCATCCCACATCACGTGATCAGACGTCTTGTGCACTCTGCACGACGTCGTGTGGCAGCATGTATCGCTGCAAGAGGTGGACACACTCGCTACTGAGGAGTTGGACACTCAAAGACACTCTGTCAGTACTGATGTGCATGTGTTGTCATGATCGAAAACCGGACATTTGAACCTCCTGTGAAAAACGTCACAAAAACTCTACTTACAGCAAATTGTTTCAATTGTTCTGTAATGACAGTCTGCATAATATGTTCAAAAATTATATCAAACATTTCAACATTGAATTGCACGTGTTTGTATCATTTTATGATACAAAAATCATCGGGGACGTTTCTTTTGCCCCTCAGTTTATTAAACAAGTGCGTGTTTTTAGATCAATTTCATGTGTGTTTTGTGAGAGAAATACAATACGATTTTAATGAGTTGTTAATGAATGGCATTTCGAATAAAATAAAATT